AAATGTTTATTTGCTTCCTTCAAACGGTCAAAAAGATAACAAAACGTTTAAAAACCTGGAAAATATACACTGTTCTCATTTCATAAATAAGAAACTGTGCATGAGGTTTGAGTTCAACAAGAGTAAAAAAAACATAGAATTCTTTCGTGAATGGCTAGTTTTATGCATTTACTGATCATAATGCTGTCCTATGGTAAGTTAAAAAAAGCATAAAAACTGTAAATTTCATAACTTTTACACTTTTTTTTATTTTTGTATCTTCACTGATTTCAAACGTAGATCAAAATAGCAATCTTTTAAAATACTACATTTCCTTCCAGATATATCATTTTAGAAACTTATAAAATTACTTTAGATTACTTCATATTTTTTAAAAGGAATGCTCTGTGAAAATTCCCAAACTAAATTACAGTATAAAGTTCCAGTGGGTTAATCGTTCATAAAACCCACTTTACCCTAGAATCCATTTTTACCTTAAAAAATTATACTGTATTTTTTAAAATAATGTATTTAGTTCAAGTGATTCAATTATTTTACTGTAATTATTACTGTATAAATTACGATATATCAGATTTTAGGTTTTATAACATGTTCCCTTAAAAATGAATTTTATGGTAAAAAGTACTTGCACCCTGAGTACGGCTTCTTTTTACCGTAATTTGATACGGAATATTTTACAGTGTGTTAGTTTAATATTTTTGCACTTAGTTTAATAAATAGGATAATTATGTTTCGTTAAAGAATATGTGTAGCCATTTTCTAACTGCAAATGGGAATTCAAGAATCAAAAATCTTTTATTAAATTTTTTTATAACACAAAAAAGTTCTGAAATATATATATATATATATATATTATCACGATAATACAAACTAAATTCGAATCGTAAAGATTCAAAAGTGATATCTAAATTATGTTAATTATTCATTTAGTTACGGTATCAGACACAATAACGTACTTTTCCTTAATAAATATAATTTCTATTATGACGCATTTGGATTTTCTTCCTTAAAAATGTGGGGAGATGGCTAGACACAGTCTAGAAAAGGTTTTCTTTAAGTTAATTTCACTTATTGTGTATTTTGCTATATCTCGGAAACTTTTTAGGTGAAATGAAAAGAAAAATTGGACAGAGTTATTAAATATATTTATCCAAATATAATTAAATGTGATAAATGAATTGTGGTAATTATTGATTATTTTTAATTATTTCTATTTTATAATCCCTGAAAAAAATATGAATAGTAAGGTATACACATTTTCACTCTATTTTAAACTATTAAAATTTTAAGCAAAATATTAGTTTATGAATTATAAAATGAAAAAAAAATCAGTATTATAAAATTTTTCATCGATATTCGAACTAGTTTCCGTATTATAAAATGAAAAAAAAAATCCGTATTATAAAATTTTTATCGATATTCGATCAATTTTGTTTAAAATTATAAAAATGAAGTAAAAATGTGTATACCTTACAATTCAAGAATTTTTTCACTTTCATTAAATAAAATAATAATATATAATTGTAGAAAGTTAATTTTTACAAGAAATTATCTTTCAATAAACAAACTTTATAACTTTGTACAGAAAAAAGATTTTTCTTAAATAATTTCCGAGATATGAAAAACGAAACAGATGAAATTAACATTAAAGAGTCACAACTTTTAGACCGATCTCTTAATCAAACTATTCGGTGGACCCACATTTTCCAGATTACGTCTACCATACAATATTTTGATAGCAAAAATCCATCGTTTTTTTTCATTAAAAAGAAGAACGTTTCTGTGTTTGGTGTGATTAAAAATAATTTGATTTCAAATTGAACAAACAATTAAAAAAATTATTTATTTACTTTATAGTCTCCCTGTGCTATTCTGCTATGCATCACGGAAAAGTAAGTGATTATATTATTGTTGAAATATACTATTTAAATGCTGTTATCAATGCTAAACATTTTCCTTGTAATAAGAACATTGCAAATTGATACCATTCATGTTGAATTTTCGCAATACTACTGAATGCGTAATGCCCATCTTGTTATGCTTATTGAAATGCCTCCCTTTTTTCCGACCAAATCCGAGCAAAGACTACGTAACAACTCATTTAAGTTTATTTCTACATTTTTATATTTTACTTCATAATAGTAATTGATACCGAAGAGCCGCTATTTTTATCTTCGGTTTTATAATATTTTCTGCAAAATATAGATTTCTTTTACAATAGATTAGCAGTTTCCATAGTATGACTTAATCCGGTAATAAATTAGTAAAATTTGCTTTATTTTATTAGAATTATTTTATTTTATTTATGTATTTATTGATTTGAGACGTGATGCCTCAGTGTTTAAGGCACTTAACTGTCATTGCAAAGAACTGGGGTTAGATTCTCGGTGGTGGCTTGAAGCCCACCCAGCATAAGATCAATAGGTACCACCCTGTCTGAAACGTAAAAGCGGCCTTTGCGCAGTACTGACTACATTGCTACAATCATGCTGTTGGTCTCGAAATTGTAGAGCCTTATGACGCCCCTAGTTCACAACGGGTTGTAGCAGGAATGCTTTACTTATTTATTTATTTGTTCATTTATTTTAAGATGAGATTTTTTCCCAACTATGCAGAGTTTGCAAAGTTTCCTAATATGCATCTTTTTTTCCTGAACTATGCAAAGTTTGGTAGCTTTATGAAGAAATTGTCGTATTATATTTATTTACCTTACCTATTTATCCTAACTTTCTTTTTTAAAATTTATTTTCTTAATTTCCTCGAAATTTTTTGAGTTTTACCTAGTCTTGGTATCTTTATGCCCAGTGGATGCGAAGCCGAAATTTCATTGCAAAATTCGTCGGAACAAAGTACAAACAAAGAATGGTGGAAAAGAAGATATAAGAAACGTATAGAGCTAAAATAGAAGGTGAACACCTCAAATATTTTTTGATCAAATAATCGTCGTTTCATGTATTAGGCTCAATCTTAGCGTTTGGTGAGGTTTTTCGACCATTAGTAAATTGAATAATAAAACTAATAAATAATCATAAAAAATCGTTTTTACTTGAAATTTTCCTTGAATAATTAAGTTTTAAAATTGTAAACAATTTTTTTATTAGCTTCAATTGTTCCGGATATATGGTAAAAAATGCAAAAGTAAAATTGCATTAACGTTTTTTAAGTTCTAAAGATGCGGACAACTTCAGTTGCTGCAACTACCGGACATTGATTCTCAAGAAAAAATCCTTCGAAAAAATGCTTAATTGCACGTTTTTGCTGCGAATTTTGTAACTTAATTCGTCAACAAAAAATTTATTATCATGCTTAAAGTTTGGGCTTCGAATCATTAAAGTTAAGTTCTAGGGCTCTCGATCATTAGATCAAAAGTTATTCAGGGTGTTTTTTTTTTCTTTCAATGNTTTTTTTTAGTTACCAATTTTTATTATTTTTTAACACTTTGAAATTTCAGAAGGGGCGAAAAACTATGTTCGCCCCCTCATTACTATTTCGGTAGAAAATAGAGTAAAAGTTGGAAATAAAATACTTTTTCTACTTTTACTTTACTTTTTCAAAAGTCAAAAAACATATTAATCGCCCATAACACAGAATAACTTGATGTATATCTTCAAAGCTGAAAAAGAATAGCCTTTTTTTCCCTCGAAAATTACCTATTTTACTAGACTTCGTCTTGGCGAATAACTAAATATCAGAAGAGGCAAGGCACATAAATGTTAGAGGAATATAAAGTTTTCTATTTCAAAAATAACTTCAAAATTGAAAAAAATCCTTTTTTTTAAATTACTGATTTTACTTGACTTTATTTTTGTGAGTGTCTAAATTTCAGGAGGGGTGAAACGCATCGTTTGCCCCATCATCTAAATTTTAGAGGGGCCCTCTGCCACTGGGTCTGACGCAATCAACTACATGCAGCTGTGGCCTTTCCCCTTCTCTGCAAAGCATGTTTGTTCTTTTAAGAAAGGGAAATAAATTGTGAAAAGGTGTTTTACCGTTTTTTACCCTTCCCTTTATGTTATAGTAGGTACGCAATTACAAAAAAGAAAATTTTCATCAACACTATCTTAACACAATTTCTTTCCTACATATATATAATTAGAGTGCTTTGTTTTGAAAAAAAAAAAAAAACATGATGTGGTCTCTTCATATGAGGCCCCCTTGACCGTCGGGGCCCCGGGGCGGTGCCCCGGCGTAGTTACGGCCCTGACTTTTTGTTGAATTGAGACGTTCACTGTGTGAGCCCGTTTACCCGAAGGCCTCAAAATACACTGGATACAGTAACCCAGAGATATAGGCGATAAAGAGTCTGCAGAGGTAGCGAGAACACTCTCACAGTATAGAAACATTCGCGCATAAATAAGAACTTGATTAGAGAATCTTTCGTAGCTTAATGTATTTCACAAATTTCCATTTGTATGCAAGTGCAGTGGTGGCCTAGTGGTTAAAGAATCAGGGTTCTAATCTTTCCTTGCAAAGAAAATAGGGAGCATTTACAACCAATGCAGCTGCAGAAGGTTTTATCTTTATCGAGAGAATAAGGTAGATCTATACACAACTCGAATAGAATGGAACCTCTTAACTGCTTCGGTATGTTTGCCTTAAGTAAATTTTTCTCCGAAGGGAGGAAAAAGGTTTAATAGATTTCTATTACGCAACAAGCTCTACATGCTTCCGTAATCTCTATGAAGCTCTGTATGCTTCGCGTATGTTTAAAAAAGGAAAAATCATCAACTATCACCTGTATTAACCCACCTGTATTTACGTTTTGGTTTTAAGCTCGGTTAACTCTCGGTTCTTGATTTAGCTACATCACAAAATAAAATTTGACAAGTCGTCCTTTGCTGAGTTTTTTTCAGGAAAATATATTCTTTTAATTAGGCTCTCATATTTTCCCGACGGTGATACGAGTTGCGGCAAATGCATTTGGTAAGAATGCTGCCTTAGTTCAAGTTTAAAGTGTGCAAAACAAATAAGTAACTGTGACTGTGCTTTCTACCGGCATAATAATTTATTAATTTTTCCGTTCACTAGATGGCGCTATTCTTGTTTGTTTTCCCGTCTGATCTATTTGCTTCACGTTCTATTTAAATTTAAATCTAGTTTGATGAACGACTAAATTTCTTTTTATCACGTAACTTTCATGCTATTTTTTCGACACGCGTCAAAACTTGCTCGGTCATTTGTTCATTCCAAAACATTGTGTACTCAATTTCAACATTTTCAGAATTTACAGAGGAACCTTCTGAAATTAGCTTCTTCTCGTAACATGTCTTTCAGCATTGTAGAAAGGGGATCACCTAATACTTTGAGCTATCGTATATTTTACAGTAAGTTCATTATTTTTATTAACATTATTTCTCGATTCCAAGAAGGAGGAAGACGAATTCTTGTTAATTTCTGTTGTTACTATTTTTCGATTTGATATTGACGAAAATCGAAGGAAATTTACTCTAAGTGACTTAAATTATATAATTTACAAAAATCTAATCAATCGTAAAAAATATAATACTAGATAAGAGATAGCTCTTCCCTGTAGAGATAGCTTTCATAATCTTTTAAGTGGTTTGAATTGTTTGATGAATTAAATTATCTTCAAGTAAAATTTGGGGTTGAGGCAGATTTTATTTTAATTTATGAATTTTTCAAGTTAAGAAATATTTAATTACTTTTTGACAGTTTCCAGTAAATGAATATATTTTTTGAAACTTATTATGATATTTTAAGAATTGTGTTAATAGTTTGATTTGTATTAAATGTAGTTTAATAATAGTAAAGGTTTAAAAAAAGTTATTTAATAATAAACTTGTTAGTGTTAGAGCTGACTTATATACTGTTTTGACTTATTTAATAAAGATCTTGCCAATGAAATGTTTACAATTACCAGCTTAATGAAAGAGGGGAAAATGTTTTGTAGGAATAAAATGTATTTAAATTAATTGTGAGGTAAATGAGTCTTGGCTTTTTTTAAACACAAATAAGCATTCTATTTAATAAAATACTATGCAGTGTAATTTATATTTTACTTTTTTAAGGTAAGGATTAAATGTCTTAAACCTTATGTCTAGTTTATGTATTGTAATGTAGTTATATTTTACATTTTACAAATTCTTATCCAGTAGAGGCAAAGGTTAAAGGTAAATTTTTTTGAATTGATTTTCATGCTTAACTCATTGACGTTTCAGGAATCGTGTGCTGAAACACATTGCAATGCTTATTTTAGTTCATTCTTGCTTTAACAGTCATCTAGATTTTTATAAGTTTGATATTTTTTTTTCTAAATTCACATAATTTTAATTAAATTTTTTTTGGCTAGTCTTTTAAAAATGAAATTTGCATTTTACTACCTTTTATGCAAGTCTTATGGATTACCTAATATTTTTCTCTCAAAACATGTATTAAAATTTTAGTTATTTTATTTTTTATTATTTTGGTGCATTTTGATTAGTTGGGCACAAGAAAATTAAACTTTTTTTTATTTTCTTTTACTTTTTTTAACCGCCAAGGCAACAAATGGATTTAAAACTTGCTTTTTTAAAAAAATAATAATAATAATAAATAAAATAGAAAATATATAGAGGTTTGATGAGGTGGTGACTGCAAGTTATAATACCTTTTGAATTTGTCTTCTGTGATGTTTTACCCAGGTTTTGGCAGGCCACAACCCGGACTTGCCAAGACTAGGCAATAATTCTTCAACAGTTCGTGATATGGAAGTCTCATTTGTTAACGCCTAAATGTTTAAGCCTATGTTTATTTTAACTTTTAGTCAATTCATCTCTATTGTCTCATTAAAAAATTTATATTAACAATGTTATGGATTTTTTTTAAAAGCAATGTTTTGATAGATGTAAGTAGAGTAGTCAGTTTTTAAAATCCTATTTGTAAAAAAAAATTTTAAGCTTCGCACACCTGAGTTTATTATCAAAAATCTGTTGTTTTTTTCCCCCAGTAGTTTAAATTTCTATTTTAATCCTTAATGAGATTGCAGAATTTACTTCTAACATTAAATATATAAATAGTGATTATTTATAACTTCTTTTGTTATAATGTAAACATTTAATGGGAGGTTTTAGATTTGTTTAGATTGGATTTAACAAGATTTGTTTAGATCTTTAACTAGCATATTTATCAAGATTGGATCAAGTTTTATACTTGAATTTATAACCTCATCTAAGTGTAAAATGCTCTTTAAATTTATAAGTTGTTTCTTTGTTAAAATTTGTTAGCGTTTTGAAAACTAGTTTGAAAGGTAGAGAAGAACAAATAGCATACAAAGGTTTAAGGAAGTGTCAGTTCCCTTTTACCCCCCATGGTGTTAGATGACTGGTTTTAGGGCTAATTATTTCATTGGCCTCCACCTTATCAGAGGGGTTACAATAATGAAAGGTCCCATTTGTCTCAGTTCCTCCTGTTCCAGTTCTTTACAAAAGCTTTACATTCCTACTTTAAATTTTCCATATTTTTATAATAGGAAGTAACAAATAAGCGAGCAATATGTTTTCAATTGCGCACTAATTTTGTAGATTTACAATAGAATCTGTGCAAATTGAGTGTATTAAAAAGTGATGTTTCAAATGTGTGATTCAAAGTTTTTGACAATTTTTTATTTTTCAAAAAAAAAAAAAAAATCATTGTGTTCAGAAGCAATTTTTAAAAAAATAGACCCAACTGTTATAAACTCATAACAATTATGAATAACGTAATTAGTAATAAGTGTTATTCCCTATTACAAACATGCTTTCTAAAAAAATTATAAAATTTTTAATTAAAAAAAGTTTTTATTTATCCTATCAGTTGGAGTCAATTTATATAATTTATATCTTTACAGCTGATGAAAATGGACCTATATCACCATTCCATGACATACCATTGTTTGCTGATAAAGAAAATAAAATTTACAATATGGTTGTTGAAATTCCACGATGGACAAATGCAAAAATGGAGGTAAAGTAATTTGTGTCTATTTATGATAAAAAAATTTTTGAAGGATAATTTTTAAAAAGCTAGTATAGATTTTTATTTAATCTGAAATGTAACTCAAGTTTATGTATGTGTTTACACTTGAAGTATAAAGTTATTAGCCTTTTATAGACTGATTCTCATTTTAACTTTTAATATTTTTTTTTAAAAGAGCCCTTCGACGATTTTTTCAACCTAAATTATTACTTGTTATCAATCCTCATTATCATAAACAAGTCTATTTAGTTTTAGTAATACAAGTTATCAACAGTGTTACATATTTGTTTTATTAGTTTTTAATATCAAAATTAGTTATAGAATTTATTAGCAAAAGTTATTAAAATAAATTTATTTTATGACAATGTGTGTTTAAAATAAGACCATAGGTACTCTCTTAACCTTTGAATAAAACATAAATGTAAAAAAAAGTTTCTCTTAAATACATTCCTCTGTACTTAGAGATATATATTTTGCTTTGTGATTCACATAAAATAAAATTTTAAAAATGTTTTTCAAGACTCTCTTTATTTTGTATGTTTAAATAGACTTTATATTTATTAAATCTTTTACACATCGTAATGAAATTCCTAATTGAAATTTTTTTGCATATATGCAAACCATTTACACGATTCTACCTCTTGTTTCTTATGTGGCAGACCAGTGTTCCTGACCTAATATTTTGATGACCTATTGTTTAGGAATAATATGTGCTGACTGCTTGGTTTATTAATACACTTATAATATAATTAGGATGTGCTAAAATCTTTAGAATGAACTTTAAAGAGAACTTGGAAATGGGGAAAATCAAGTTTTAAGTTCATTCTTAGGAATGTTGACTTTAGTGGAATTTGTTATTTAATTAGGGACCTATTCTTGAAAAATGACAATCACTAGTAACCAGTACAATTGAACTGATTCAGGATTTTAATATGTTCAATGATTTAACGAGCAAATTGCTTTCAAGCTTTAATTATCAGTATAAACAAGTTTGACTGCATATATTAAATTATGATTAATAAAATATCACATTTTAAGACTAGATTTGTTAATATCCATGCATTATAATAGTATTTTAATAATTTTATCTGTAGCAATTAGAAATTTGACCAGAGAATAAATTGTTTTATGTTTCAGATAGCTACAAAAGATGCATTGAATCCCATAAAGCAAGATGTTAAAAAGGGGGCTCTTCGATACGTTCACAATTGTTTTCCTCATCATGGTTATATTTGGAACTATGGAGCTTTACCTCAGGTACTAGGATATACTACTGAATTATATACTTGAAATATTCTTTTGATACATTAGTTTTTTTCTTATTTACTAAATTCTTCTCAAAATTCAAATGAAAAATAGAGCACAATGAGTTAATATTAGATATGTTATTTGAATTGTTCACCTCTTTATCAGTATGATCAGCTACCACATCATTATTGCATCTATTAAAATTTTCAGGAGACTACTGGAATTAGTAAATTTCTCTTGGTTTTCTAATTTTATTAGAAATTACAATTACTTAAAAATTACTTTTTTAATTTAAAAAAATTTGTCAAGAGGAAAAGAAATTCCAAATCAAAAAGTATTTTGACTTCAATTATTAATTACTGGAGAATTTGAAGAAGTCATACGGCTAATTAATCAGCTTAGCTTCTAATAGAACACATAGCACTAATAGAACACTTTTTTGATTGCTATTTCAATTTTAAATATGTGAGTTACTTATACAGGGTGGCCACCTGGTAAACCTTGAATTATCAGGGAATTTTTTTTATACTGGAAAAATCAGGGAATTTTAAAGAAAAGCTGCAAATTTTTTTAATTTCACTAATTTAAATTATTTCATCCATTTTACCCACTTTTTTTAAACGGAAATGTATCTCCAAGCAGTTGAACTATCATCAACTTAGCAATACTTTGCTTGCATCAAAATTTGCTCCATTACAGCTCTGTTTAACTAGAATGCCACATAAAATTCTCCCACTGTTGCTAAACGAATGTGGAAACCTTTGACCGCTATGGGCTGTGCAATTTAGGAAGGATTGTGGTGGAGGTTGAAGAAGGGATTAGGATACTAGCTTCTGTTTTTAAATTCTGTCCTTGGGCTGAACCCATTTATGGCTTAAGTTTGTTCCAATGCTTTCGTGGTAATTTTTTTCCATTTTGACAAAATGTTTTTGTATTTTTAACTTGATAAAATTCTCCAAAAATTAGTTGGTTATAATAATAATAGATTTTATATTGCACTCTTTTTCTGAAAGCTTTTGTATTCCCATTAAAAGAAATCTGTGAATTATTTTTTCTCAGCAAACCAACCAATCAAAAATTTTTTTTTTTTACAATCGCTAACAGCAATGTTTGTCGACAAATTGTTACAATTGTTGCATTAATGCTAATTTTTTCTATTTCATTTTAACCTTTTATAACATATTTTAATTTTAAAAATAGTTTTTTTTTATTTTAAGAATTAACTATATACTAATATTTAATTTTACTCTTTTGTTGGTCAATATATGATTTTTGATTCAAAATTTTGTACCAAAACATTAAAAAATGAATAAAAAATCTTGCCAAATTGTCAAAATAAATTATTTTTTTCAAGATGTGTTAAAAAAATAACATTTTGAATTACATATTTTATAATATAGACACTTTTCTTGTACCCACATCCTACACTTTATTAGAATAAAGAAACAAAAACCTGGAAATTTTAAGATTTTTATCTGGAAAAATCAGGGAAATTTGAAATCTGATTTGAGTGGTCACCCTGTTATAGCAACAAACTACATTTCTGCTATTGTGGATTGTCATTATAACAGACCGTTACAATAATTATCAGAATTTGTTTAACAACCATATTTAATTATGAAAACACTGAGTCATGAGTTAATAAGTTTATATTATTTATCATGGCTCGTAGCATTTTTAAAAAGTGCTTAAAGGTGCTTGCTTTTGATTTTTAAAAACCCTTAAAGTTGTTTTTTTCCTTGGCTGTTTTTAAAAAGTGCTTAATTCTCTTGTTTCAAAAATGATACTTATTTTCTTTACCATGTCTATTTTCGCCATATATTATGCAAACCGTGCTTTTCACATTGTTCTACTCAACATCTTCGCAATTCATTCAATCAAAATCTTTTTCGTCATCTCTTTGGTCTATTGTGTGTGAAAGCGCCAATCATTTTACATGTTTGATGAAATACTTGCAGGTCTGCATGTGCATCTACTGAGCTGAGTTCAGTAAGATACTTGCACTCTCATCTGCAACTCTACTGCATTTTGCAATCTATTCTCAATTTTAATCTCCATTTTCCACCGTCTGATATCGAATCGAAAAGCCTCTTCATCTTTTAATAATGGGTAATATAACCAAGAAAAGAGTTCTTTGTCAGAAACTGGTTATTTTATCATGATCATCTAAAGTCTTTGAAAATTATTTTGCATTTTGTTAGTATATAGTGCTTAAAAAATATTTTTTGAATGCTTAAGAAGTACTTAAAAGGTGCTTATTTTTTGTGGAAACATTTGGCTATGCACCATGTCTATGTATTCCATAGATTATAACTTTTTATTAGAATTGTTAACATTTTGTTAACTAAAGAATAAAATAATTGTATGCATTTTATTAATCAAAATATGAATTTAAGAATATAATAAGAAACATTGGATTTAAGTCTCTTTAATGTCATTTATTATCTAACAGAAATTATTGCAATAAAGTGGACTGATATAGATTTTAGTGTGCTTTATTTTTGGATTTCATTTTACCTTATTATTATTACAAACAATTACTTTAATTCTACATATATGGTATGCTTTTTTACACTCAAGTTTTCATCATTTTCGTGAAATTTTGCTTATTTTCTAAAGATATATATATTTTTTTGGAACTATATTTTTCTTATAAATCATTTTGTGATTTATATGTTTATAAAAAAATTTTTTCTCTTGCCATTTAGACCTGGGAAGATCCAAATCATATAGATGAATCAACTAACTGTAAAGGTGATAATGATCCTGTTGATGTCTGTGAAATTGGTTCCAGGGTAAAGAAAACTTTGGTGTCTTTTGTTTTTTTTATTCTTTCTGAAAGTATTTGTGTTATAATTAATACCATGTTGAAAAAATTATACATGTGTGAAATTTTACATACTTGCCATTTTTACATTGTCATGAAAAGTGAAATATTTGTCTGTGTTTTTGAAGCAGGATTCTTTTTTTTATTTTATGCTAATTTAAAGGTTTATATTTTTTATGTTGTTATATACCTAACCAAACACTAGTTATAATTCAGCTTTCTGTTAAACTACAGCTGTTGGTATTAACCTTGCAACTAAAATTATAAGTTGAAATTATTTTACCGGAGAAACGAAGTTTCCATGACAGGTTATTATTAATATTGGTTACTTAAGTGAATGAAAATGTCATATGATGCTACATTAAAAAATAAATTTTATAATAATGGTTAACACTTAATTTAAAAATGATTTATGCTTTGTAGTAGAGCTGTAATAAAGGAGTAAGACCAGATACAAATGTCTCAGACCTCAGGAGGTTATTTGAAAAATTAAGCTAAACTGATAATACATTTCCCCCCCTTGATTATTTGTCTTTTATAATTTTTTTCCTCTGCAGTAGAAAATTCATTCCTGAAAACAGAAAGTGTGTTTTGATAACAGTACAATAATGCTTGTGTTTGCAATAATTTCCTCCTTTACTGGTAAAAGCTTTCCAAATAACTCTTAGTCAATTTCATCTTGGTCTTTTATTAAATCAATAGTTTTATTATTTTTGCACTTTTACTATTAGCTTGTGAAATTAATAGTTTAAAAATAATGCTAAAATACAATGAGATTGTTTTTCTAGTTTTATTATTATCGTTGTCTTATCACCAATGAATAATGCATTTTGATATCAAACATGCAAAAATGTACGTAATGCTTTCACAATTTTTTATTAAAGCCAGAATGTTTTTATGCATATTTTGTATTCATGTGTGCTGTGTGATTCTTTTTTCATCTTTTTTTTTTGAAGGGAAAAGTTTTGTTCATAAAATGTTTTTTTAAAGGGAAGAGGGGGAAGGTAACAAGATGTATGCATTCATTATTTTTTTTAGCTCACTCTTGTTCTTTCACCTGTACTGTCCACACTACTAATGATTTGAAGCAATGCCGATACATGTGAAAAACAATTATTTTAATCAAACTATGAATGGAACCATTTTTAAATTATGAATGAACTGATTTTTTTCCCTTGATACTTTAGCAAATTTATTTTTCTTTCTAGGTAGCTAAACGGGGAGAAGTATTACAAGTAAAAGTGGTTGGGGTTATGGCTCTTATTGATGAAGGTAAAATTTTGAATATTACAATGAAATCTATACAATTGATATATTTGTATAGAAGTATTAAAATGTGTATAAAAGTTCTGAGAGATATATATAATTTTTATTTTATTTCAGGGGAGACTGATTGGAAACTTATAGCTATTGATATTAATGATCCTGTTGCTGATGAAATTAATGGTAAGCAATGTTTAAAAGTGTTCCATTATTTTGTTATTAAAAAAATCATCTTTTGAAGTATGGCAAAATTTTATATCAAGTACATTTGAAGTATATAACATTACAAAAATTTGTTTTCACTGTTAAAATTTTGGAATATTGTTTTTCCTCTTGCATATTCAAAAAAAGAATTAATTATTTTTTAGTTTTCTTTTACACGAATTTACATTTGTGTAAATAGATGTGTGTAATAAATAATCTAATAGTAATTGTGAAGTATCAAGTAAATTTGAACAAACCTCAGTTGATATTTTGTTGTCCAATAGAGTTCAAAATTTTAAGCCAAAAACGGTAACTTTTATTTGCAATTAGGTTTGATGATTGTTTGAATGATGTAAGGATTTAGTATTTTTTTTTTCTTGATTCTTTCAAAAATAAAAATAATAAAAATTTTTTTAAGTCAGATCTTAGGTATTCTATGCATCCTGTAGGATTAACTTTTTGTGTAAGCAATTACAATTATATAGGGTTCACTATTATGGGTTTAGGTTTTAAGTCTGCATAGTTTTTTATTTTTAATTATTAAAATTTCATACTACCTACACGGCTTTCCAAATAGTAAGGCGATGAGTTTCTCAAAAGCAGTGTGTAATAATGAAAAGAAATAAAATCTAATTTCATAAGAACTTATTCACAATTGAGTGCATTTTTGCTTGTTTATTAAAGTTCAATTTATTTTTGAAAGTTTATTTCAGTTATGTTGTATCTAAAAAGACATCTTCTATGTTATAATTTTTTTCTATTTTCTCCTGTGATTACATAGTTCTTTTACAGTTATAACATAAATTTCAAATACTTTTGTATTTTAATTTTAGACATTGATGATGTTGAAAAAATTTTCCCTGGATATTTGAGAGTAAGATCACTTTTTTCTTAAAAAAAATCTTTACAACATATAGCGTGAAAATTAAATTTTTAATTGTAATTTTCATTTATTTATTTTTATATTTAGAAATTTTATTTCTTAAATTTTTCGATTATGATGAGTAATCTTTAAATCAATTTCTAGTTTCGTCTGCAGAATAAATACGTATAAATAATTATGAAAATACTCTGCATTTAATCATTTCTTGAAATGCATATCCTTGCTATTCTAAATTTATCTGAAATTTGCTTTTTTTTTGTAAAAAATTGTTTTAAGCATGTTTATTTATTTTTGTTGTGATTTTTACTTTTCTTGTCAGATGAGCTTTGTTTTCTGCACTTAACCAGCTTTATATTGAACCTACTTTAGTTAATGGCTGCACACTCTTTTTTACTTTTAGCTCCTTTAAAGTAATGAACATTTTTTATGCATATAATTTTTCTCTTACATAAGATTAAAAATATTTCATGATACATGAAGACACTATGAATTATTTCTTGAAATTTAGCATAAAAATTGGTATTAAAAATTCCTGTGTCAGTCTTTTTTTTTTTGACAGTCCTTCTGTAAGTTTATAGAATAATAGTTACTCAACTTTTGTTTTATTGATCTAATAGTTTAAAAGTTTGAGATCCATATCTAACTAAAATATCTGCCCTTACCATTTGTTAGGTAAACTATAATATTATTAATGTGTGGTCATTGTTGGCAGGAAATGGTAAGTATATGTCCCCCTTAATAATTAGAAATCTCTAATAGTCTCCTTAAAAAAAATTTTTTTTTTTGCCAATTATTATGAATTTAAATGTCTTTTAGTTAAAAATGAGAAAGTTATTGCGACTGCAATTTATATTTGCCTGCCTTAAAAAATTGGGTTCCTGTAACACTCACGACTGAGCATTTATACTCGGTGTATTTTAGTAGTTAGTAAATATATTTAGAATTAGATATTTACAGGGTTGCCACTCCACAGGAAGAGCAGTTAAAACCTGGAAAATACAGGGAATTTAAAAATCACCTAAAATAACAGGGAAAATGCAGAGAATTTTGAATTTTTCTTTACCAACTGGGAAAATTCAGGAAATTTTGTTTCTTATTTTCGTCTTTTAAAAAATGTTAACCACTCAAAGCGTAATCTATGGGATATTTAACTATGATATTTCAGTTTTACTAAACTATTTCATTTACTATAGCATTATTTAAGTATGTTCAGCCGTTTTTCCAACAATTAAAACTAATAAATATAGTTAGCGTTATATATCTCACACAAGAGCACAGTAATTGTTGTTTCCTCTTAATATATTGTGTATAATATGTGCAGGGAAAACACAGGGGTTTTTTTCCTTCCAGATTTGAGTGGCAACCCTGATTTACTTGTCTCATATAGTTTAAAATTTTTTCTAGAACTTTCTTTTTTAAGTTGTGAAAATTGTGTGATGCCACTGGGGGATTTAATTATGAATAGTATCAGTAAGGGTTCAATAAATTATCAAATTTTTAAACAGTTAATATTGTTCAATTGGAATATTTATTTTTGGAAAATGTCTCAAACTGTTCTGAGTATTTTTTTATTATTTATTTCTGATAGGCTACTCATGAATGGTTCCGCATTTATAAAATGCCAGCAGGTAACCCAGAAAACAAATTTGCATTCAATGGTGAACCTAAAAATAAAGTGAGTAAATATCTACAAATAAAACATATATTTTGAATGTGAACCAAAATCTGAGCTTAACTTATTTTTCAATGTCTGTGGTTTATAACATTTATAAGTAAATGAAATTCAGAAATCAGCATGTTTATAAAAATAGGACTAGTTTTGTACCATGAAACCAATAATATGAAATTTTGTTGCATATATTGGTGGGAAAGATTTATTCATGCATATAGAATCTATATAATTTAGCTGTTCCCAGGGTTCATTTTTTATTAGGTTTTTTAAAATTTGTTTCTGAATTCAATTATTGAACAGATACATATTATTCATCAAATGTTTTTTAACCCTTTGACGGTTAAGGAAATGAGCAGTTTTCGTTCACTTAATTTGCACAGTATTACCAGTAAATAATAATTGAAAGTGGCAGCTGTTTTTTCCCACCGTTTTTCCGAAAATGTCACCCTTCTCTGGCGATGCCGTAGATAGCTTGCCTCACGTTTGTATTTTAAAATAATTATGTATTAAATAGTAAATTATAAATGATTATAATCAATTATCTGAATAATAATAGTTAAGTATAAATATAAGACAAATATTAAAGTGAAAGGACTAAATAAATACAACTCATGTGAAACTTTATGAAGCATTTAAATATAGTAATTAAATAAAAATGTTTTTGTACTAAAAAAATTACAGTAATTACCTAAAATTCTTTAACAATCATAATTATCAAACTTTTGCTTTTGAGCCATTTTACTTTACAAACACCCTAAAAACCTGCAAAAAAAATTCCTTCTGCAAAAATTCCTAATTACATTTCACGAGTAGGATTCGTTTGCAACATAATCAATGCAGAACAAGCTCAACTCTCATCCGCGTGCATTGGGGAAACATTTCAGTCGAAATCCTGCTCCTGAGCGGAACTCGATTGAGCGCATTATGAAGCACGGTTTGATGGCGAGCCAAACTCGTTCAGAACTATCAAAGGGTTAAGGTAATTAAATTCTAAATTACATCATTTTAGGCGAACTTTTTAAATTTATCTAATCATGGAACTTAATAATTGAAATACAGTAGAAAGGGGAAAAAAAATGTCATTGTTCAGGGGTCTGCCCAGGCCAAATTTACTGCCGTTTAGCGGTACTTTCACAAATTCAATTTTAGAAAAAAAACGGCAGTTCACAAATTGCTTTTAAGATATTTTCTAAAACTATTTAATTATTTTGAAAATATTTTTTTATTTTACCATATTTTGGTGTTGATTTTTTAATATAATTCTTAAATTTCACAAAATTGGTACCTCTAAAAAAAACCTAGACAGACCCCTGATTAGTGGTGTAAAAAAAATATCGGACTTAATTCAAATTGTTAGCATCTTATTTAAAATAGCACGATTTTCATTTATCATATTTACTTCACTAGGGTAAAAAAACAATTTTTTATAGATAGTTATTTTGACATCAAATACAATATATAGGATAAGTACTTCCTTATTATTATCACTTACCTTGATTTAAAAAATAGTAATTTTTCTGTGCGCTAATTGCTATTTCATTTTAGTAATATTCTACTTTTTCCTCACTAATTTAACTTATTTTGTATCATAAACATTTTTTTTTTAAATAATCAACTCATTAACATTTTGGGTTGCCCATTTGCATTTAAGTGCATGTTTTAGTTCACAATATTTCTTTTAGGAATTTGCTGAAAAGGTTGTAGAGGATACTCACAAGTTTTGGCAGAAGCTCATTAGGAATGAAACTGAAGCTCATGGTCTTAATTGGTAATTTACATTTATACAGTCCAGGTATACTATATATAACTGAGCAGCGAATTGACTAAATTTGTTAATAATAAATATTATAATTTTCTTGAAGTTTTTTGTTATCACATCTGAAAAATGTTATATTAATATGCTAAATGCAGTTAAAAAGAAGACGTAAATATATCTTTAAACTTATATGCAAGTTTAAAAAACATCTTGCAATTATAACTCGTACAATTAAATTGACTTCTGTTATAGTGCAATATTTCACTTCATCTTTAAACATACATAATTGTGGCATTATTAGTGGAAGGTAATAATTATAATTGGAGACATTTCATTTTTCTCAGAACTTGCTCAAATAAAGAAAGGGAGAAAACTACAATAATATCTTGTCCCTGTACAAAATAAAAAAAAAACTGTGAATGTTTTCTATGGATTGAATACCTAAATAATGTGATTTTAGATGTTGAATGCTGAGCAAAGAAACTTCAAAATTATATTGTTTATAAATTTGATAAATTTAAATTGAGCTAGACTAAAAGTTCTAATAATTTAATCAAACTGCTTACTTTTTCTATTCATGTATATCATGCATAAATGTATCTGAGAGATAAGAAAAATGTCATGCAAAGCATTGACTAGTTCTAAAGAATTATGATGCTCAATCCAATTTTTTCCCTCTAAATTCAATTAATTACTGTAATATTTGATCTAGCTCTACAGTAACTGTTATAGATAGTCCTTACAAAATTAGTGAAGCTGATGCCTTGACTGTAATTCAACACACTGATGAATTAGGAAGTGCACAAGAAATAGATCCCAAAGGTAATTTTATTTAAATGCTTATTTACCTCGTTTTGATATTAGAAATTATTAGACTATTTACTTTAAAATATATCAAGTTGGTTTTTATTAGTGATTTTGGAATAGAACTGCCGTCACATGGCGATTCTATGTTATTTAAAAACTCAGATTAAGTAAATAAACAAGTAAAAGTAACCTCCAGCAGAGTTGATATGATTTAAATAAACTTTTTTTTTTATTAAAGTGGTAAAGATAAGTCTTAGAGTGTGATTTTTTAAAGTTTCTTTTTATTGATAATGAAGTGGAAAGGAACATAAATTATATTTGGAAATTACTAGATAATAATTTTTTAGTTGCATGTAATATACATATTTTAATCATACCCATTTACTTATTTTTCAATACAGATGCTTATTAAACATGTAGTTAGTGTACAGTTCGCAAAAAAACTAAACGGGATTTCCATGTTCTAGGATTCAATTTTAATGGTTCGAGGCATTGACCTCAAGTAGGCTAAATTGATAGCACAGAACATTTTTTAAGTTACACAATTGTGTCATAAAACTTACTTTATTTGAATTACAGACCCTCAAAATAAAGGAGTGGTCCTCTTGATGTAAAATTTTTTTTTATGCACATCTCAAGAACTTTTTAAATGAACTGAAAAAACTTTCGTAGCTTCCTTTTTTATAAACAAAATTCAAGGCCTTTAGAAAATATTTTATATTATTCTACTTAATAAAAGTAGAAAAAAATAAATTCCATGGCAAAACGCATAATTGGTTTCATTAGTAATGAGAATTCAATTTTTAAAATATAATCAAACTTAACTAGACTATTATTAAATGAAATCATGAAAAATTTTATAATTTTGCTCAAAAATTATCTTATTCTTTTAAAATGTTTTTCAAGATATGGCAAATAATGAGGTGTCCAATTATTAGGGAGTCAGAAATTTGAACCTGCTGGGATAGAAAGATGTTTTCCTGTAAAAGTCTCCCCTTCAGACCTTGACTTTAAAAAAATGAAATAATAATTGTGAATTTTCAAGTAGACAATCTTAGTATCGCATACTTTTTTGTTTATTGGTTTCAGGCATAACTAGATTTTCTAACTTCATCTACCGAAATAAAAACTAATGCTTTTCTAACAGAATCACTCTAGCATATTTAAAAATGATGTTTCAGTACTTATTATAGTTATGTGATTTTGTAACTTCAAAAATTTGACTAATTTTCTTAATTTCCTTCCAAAAGTAGATAAATGGCATTTTGTTCAGTTGAAGTAATATTTATCCATCAACCAAAGAGCTGGCAGCAATTACAACCAGAGTTGTAGTTCAAATGACAGATTTACATGAAAAACTATTGTGATATATTAATTTCAATTAAAAAGTAATTTGGCTTCTGTTCAGCATTTTAAATACACTTTATTTCCATGACAATTATTGTAATAAAGTATTTACCAAATTGATTTTGAAATATATCATTTATAACAGTTAATAAACACTACTTAACTACTTGAGTTGTAAGAATTCTTTTCTTTGTTTCAATTGAATAGGAGGTAGCCGCCAACTAGAAATTACTATTCCAGTAGTTTTCGCAAGAGATCTGTGGAATGGTAACAGTCTATGTACAATTGTATATCTTAAAGATTTTTTAACAAAGAACCTGTGCAGAATTATAAATTTAAAAAATTGTCACTACAAAAAATAATTTGACTGGTAATTATCTGTATACATTTTTGCCATATTAAGGGTACTTGCTACATTTTAGATTTTCAAGAACTTTTCATGACTTAACTAAGTTACTATATTCTACGGCAATACCGCAACAAGAAATTTAAAAGAGCGTTATAACATTAATTGAAATGATAGATATAAACAAAACTGCATCATCTAGATTTTAAATTTAAAAAACAGAGTAAAGAAAGAGTTGAAACAATAAAATAGCTGAAAATAATACAAAAGCAAATAATTTTTTTCCCCTTTTTTTCTGCAGAATTATATTCTAAATATACATTTCTTGTTCAGAGAGGAAAGAAATACTCCTGATTTTTCTGTTCTCATTTTGGACTTAAAAAAAAAATTCGCCGATGACTGGTTTGCTTCAACTAGAATTTTAAATTGATAAGGTTTGCTTCAACTAGAATTTTAAATTGATAACATTTAGAAAAAATAATAAAAATTCCTAAATCACAGAAGTTTAAAAGATAATTCACTCAAGAAATGATGTTTTTTATTTCATTCTTTGAAAGAACACCATAAAAGCATTTTATATTCTAATAAAATATGAAGGAGTGGTGATTTTGTTATTAATTCAGATATTTGGAACAGGATGATATGGGGGGAGGGGGGGTCCATTTTAAAATTAGATTTTTCGGAGACCTAAATCCATGACTTTTCATGAAATACTGAAATTTGTGACTTTCCAGGAGCGTGGATATCCTGCATATGTTCAAAAACAATTTTGCTATTGTAAAATTTTGGACTTATAAATCCATAATTAAATTCAAAACATACATTTAACAATACTATCACTAAAAGTTATGAGAAAATTTTTGACTGGGTTATACAGAAAAAAATAAAGATCTATCAGAATAAATTTAAAATACTGTTAAAAAAAAATACTTCGAATTCTTGTGCACTTTACAAAGAGACAGCCTCTTCATTTCATTTTAAAAAAAAAATTATTCAAAATGCAAGCTAATGAGAACAAAACTGTAGTAAATTTGTCTTAGACAGACCCCTGTTAAGCTTATCCTAATAGTATAATTCTAAAATTGAATTGTAAGGCATACAAATTTTTATGTAATTTTAAATAACAAAATTGTTTCTAAGATATTAAAATGCAGTATCTCTCAAATTCTGTTAAACTATTCACCACTTTTCTAACCATTATTAAATTTAAAAATAAAAAAAGCTATTTAATTTTTTACATGAAATTATCTACAAATAAACTTAATTTATGCATAATACACAAAAAGTAAAATAAAGATCAATTAGCCTTAAGGCCCTTTCTACGCTGAAAGACAAGTCAAATTGAAGGAGCTATGGGTGGGAGAAAAGGAGGAATAGGCGTGGACATTAGTGGACATAGGGGGTGGAGATACACTGAACGACCATGGAAGTCCGGGTTACATTTTTTGGCAAAACTCAATATTTAAAGGGTGCGCCAAAAATAGATCACNTTTTTTGCACAAGTTAAAATATTTTATGAGGAGTTTAATTTTCCTCGGAGCGAAATTATTGAAGTCCTCATTCCTCCCTCTGAATCATTTCCTTGGGATAAAACTAGTTGACCTTTATACAGGGATGAGATTTTTTTCGCTCGAATTTCAGCCTTTTTATCAAAAACTCAGATTTTCTAAAAGTTTCGTTTTTTTTATTTATAAATATCCCGTCTTTTTAAAAAAAAAATTCAGTCTTGAAGTCAAATTATTATATTTATTTACGATTTTCAAAGAAAAACAGAAAATTCAAACTACGTCCTAGCTGCTAATCCTTCTGCATGTTTACTTATATTAGCTATTTTCTCCGATTTCACGCACAGAAAATAAGATTTTCATCCGTCGGCGGGATAGCTCGTATTTTCGTAATTTAGACGTCGCTGCTTCTTGTATTCTGGAGAGAAACCAAACAAAAAGAGCGAAAAAAAATAGAGGTGGATTTGTGGTGAAAATATTTATTTGCTCATTCAATTAATCTTGTAAATTTTTATTTATTGTGTAAACAATTCAAACAATCCTTTTAGAAATCCCAAGTCCCGACTCTGCAAATATTCAAGCGATTTTAATATCAATCAACGATATTCGTATTTACCTGATTTAAAAGTTGCGCATTGCAATTCTTATTTACGCTTTTTAAATATCGTACATTATGACTCGTATTTACGAAATTTAATATCGTGTTTTGAATTTTTGCATTTTTAAAATCGCGATTTTATTATCAAACATCGATTTTCGTATTTACCTGATTTAAAAGTTGAACGTTGCGATTCTTATTCAGGCCATTTAAATATTGAACATTGCGATTCTTATTTACGAGATTTAAAAAACCAATTTCGCAATTTGTATTTACGAGCTTTTAAAACCCTATGTAGCTACCCAAGCTTAAAATCCAATGTCGTGATTCGTTTTTGCGGTTGTAATATTGCGCGATTTTAAAATTATGCATCTTTATCTAAAAATTACGCATCACAATTTGTATTTTCGCATTTTTTAAATTCGATGTAGAGTTTTATACGCACATGATTTAAAAGCCTCATATCGGGATTTATAATCACATGGATTACAAGTTTAAACGAAAGTTAGACAAAAAAGTGCGATTTATATATATATGTAATTAAATATTCTTGAATTTCCTCTTTTTTACTTGCTGACTACTCTCATCCCTGTCTTTTGAAGGTAGTTAGAGAAACATTTTTGCATCTGTTATCATTACTTAAAAGTTTGCAATAATTAATCTCACATATTTTATGAAGTTGTAATCTTTAGAACAAAAGTTGAATTGCACACTGTAAGAATTAGCTTTGTTTGCAAACACATTGACATGCATTGTACATCGTTTCAGCATAAGTTGAGAGATAATGATAAAAAAAAAATATACATTTCTATGTTATGGCAAAGCAAGGTTTAGGACAGAATGGATTAATCCATGGTTTAAACCGTCCTGTCCAAAAACCCTTTTATTCAAATTATGTCAAAATTTTATCTAAACAATATTTAAGAGGTAAAAAAAAAAAACATAGAACTAATAACATATTGATAATTAAATATACTAGAGAATATTTGTTTTTAAAACTATAATGTTTTATTAACATTATTTGACTCTTCAATTTAAACAAAGCAAGATTAATCAGTAATCAAGTTCATTCAATTGGTCCACTCATTCAAAAGTACATAACTACAGTTTGGCCTTGCCATACAGGTTAAAATATTAGGGACTAAGTGCTTGGTTCATCATAAACACGTTTATTTATCTATAGTGCTATTCAAGAATACTTTTATTTCATTCATGTTCAATTATTTTAGCATAGTGGTGATACATCACCAGTGTCAGTAACTGAAACTGATATTATGCCCTGAGAGTAAATCAGAAAATTT